AATAAAAATATAACCATTAATTTAAAACAAACTTAACATTAAAATATAATAACAAGGAATCATATAATACAAATACTCATATTGACATTGGTCTTCTGGATTTAAAAAAAGTTCAAAGTAAATAACAAAAAATGTTAAAAAATAAACAAATTAAACAATGACTTTTATGACAATAAATAATTAAAACTAAAACTTAATGATAAAATTACAGTAAAAAGTATTTTTCTTTATTAAAACATTATGCTAATAAATACTCTACTAATTTCAAAATAATTGTTGCTTTACTTTTTAAAAATAAACATCAAGTTCAAATCTCTTGGGATAACTAAAAAGGAGTTTAAAAAAGAATGAACTATTTTTATTGTATAATTTATTATCTAATATATAAAAAAATAATATTTTAATAACTTCATTGCTTAAACTATGTGTATATATATTTTTTCGTGCATCCTGTGCTAAAAACTATTTTTACTTTTATATTATACTTGAAAAAGAATTGAAAATTAAAGTTAAAAAACATTTTTGGTACTTTCTGAAATTTAAGAATCAATTGGTTAAAAAATAAAAGTTGAGGGATCAATTTAAATATTTAACTTAAAAAAATATATTAACTGATATCAGCATCACAATAAAAAAAATTAAAAATTTACCTTCTTAAATAAAAAAAATTAAAAATTAATATCTTTAAATAAAATAAATTAAAAATTAATATTTTTATTTAAAAAATAATAAAATTCATATTTTTAAATAAAAAAATATAAAATTAAAATTCTTATTTACAACTCTACTACGAGATTTTATCTTATTTTTTGCGCACGATCCACAATCGAACCTCTCTCTTTCCTCAGATATTTTTCTCTGCCTCGGGATTCCTTTCACTCTTGTCATTACCAAGGGAGGAGGGCCCACAGACTAGAGCTCACCTCAATGTGAAATGTCTCTTGGGAAATTTCTGGACATCAAAACATCAAGATATGACCGCTATTGCCTATTGGCACGCGTAGGGCTGGGCAAACGTCTGATACAGTATTTTTCTTCTTCTTTTTTTTAAAAAAGGCAATGAAATGTCGATGAAGCATGGGTACATTAGGAGATGAATATATTATAATAATAGAATTAATTATAAAAA